AAAAAAAAAAAAAAAAAGACCCAAATCCCACTGTGAAAAACAACATGGCAGTTCCTAAAGATATTAAACACAAAATGACCATATGATCCAGTAATTCCACTTCTGGATATACAGCCAAAATAAATGAGAGTAGGGACTCAAACTGATATTGAGTATTTGTACACCCGTGTTCATAGCAGCATTAGACACAATAGTCAAAAAGTAGAAGCAACCCAAGTTGTTATCTTTTGCTTTTACCTTTGCTGCCTTTTCTCTTTTGCTTTTTATTGGCAAATGAATGATTAAATAAAACGTGGCACATACATACAATAAACTGATAAACTCCTTTAAAAAAAAAAAGGAAATTCTGATACATGCTACAATACCAGTGAGCATTGACAACATCATATGCTAAGTAAAATAAGCCAGTCACAAAAGTGTATTATAAATCCACTTCTTCAAGGTACCTAGAGTAGCCAAATTCATAGAGACACAAAGTAGGAGAATTTCAAGAGCTGGCATGAAAGAGAAATGAGGAATTAGTGTTTTAATGAGCACAAAGTTCTAGTCATGGAAGAAAAAAAAATTCTGAAGACAGATGGTGATGATGGTTGTGCAACAGTAAGAAAGCATTTAATACACAAAACTGTAAGCTAAAATGTGTTGAAAATGTAAATTTTGTTACATATATTTAACAGCAATTTAAAAAGTATTGCCTGGCAAATGTTAACAATACTCACTGCACTCACATTATCTCTTAAAGCATTTTTGAAATAGTTTTTACACTATTTTTAAATGGCCAAAATGTTCATCAACAAATTATAATATATCACAATAACATAACTGTTGAAAAGAATGAAGTGGACCTGTACTTACATGGAATAAAGTACAAGACATATTGTCAAGTAGAAGAAATAGAGAAGTAAATTTATTTTATAAAAATTATATCAAGTTGGGCCAGGGATTTAGCTCAGTGGTTCTGGCACCTGCCTCGCAAGTGCAAGGTCCCAAGTTTGATCCCCGGTACCAAAAAAAAAATTATATCAAGTTACCAAGGATAATGCCATCAAATGAAGATGATAGAAAAAGTATTATTGTGATTTTCTTCTTGAGGCCCCAGAGCCAGATCGCATATTCATGTAGGAGTTGGGTTTTCCAGTAAAAGACAGACATTCTCCACTGCCAGTCATGCTAGGAAGACATTCCCTGGGACAAAAAAATAAGGACTTAGTGGACAGGAATTAGACTAAGGTGAGGAGTAAAACATCCTCTTTTCTATGAGTTTAAGCCTCAGCAATGATGAAGGACCAGGGGCCCTGACATTGCCTGACCACATGGGGACAAGCTGATGACAAGCCAGGATGATTGCTGGTCCAGAGGGTACCCTGGGCAGACTGGACTTAAATTACACAACCATTTATTTTTCCTGCTGGACTTGCTCCTTCCATAATCCCCTGTTCTTCTGCAAAGAGAAATTACAGTGCAGACTGTCTGCCCTCAAGGTCAGCCGTCAGTGCCAGAGAACAGCCATGTCCTCTGGAGCAGAGATTATGACTGTTATCACCAGAATAAGGAGGAACACTTGGACAAGAATTGGGGACTAGAGGGGAATAATGACAAGGTTATGGCCCTTAGCACATTAGGTACCAAAAAGTCATTAGAAATATCTGAGGGGCATTCTTGGTAGGAGATCTCACATTAATCAATAGACAGGGGAATGAAGAAGGATCTCACCATCATTATAACACAAATATTACCTACGATCTTTCTGGCCCTTAAAGATGAAAGTGACTCAACATCTACCCTCAAGTCCATGTCCTATAGAGTCCAAAATCTTCCCAGGCACCCTGTGAATTCAAGGGTAGCAAAGGAGGAAGGGATTTAACACTTCCGGTCCCCTCTGCCTCTCAGCCCTCAGGAATTGCTCCCACACATGCATCCCTCTTCACACAGCTTCAGTGCAATCTTAGCACTCAGCCATCTCGCCTACTGCACAAGAAAAGCTCATTCCCACCAGGCATTTTGTACATCTAATGGTCTTTATTAAACTACTGAGGCTCAGGGAAAGGGGCACTACCTGCTGCAGAACAAACGTCATCATGTCCCCAGTGAGTGATGCTGGACTCCAAACACTTCTTGGCCATCCCAGCAATTCAAATTCTTCACTCCCCCATGCAGCATCCAGGCTCACGGCCTCCTCAGTTTCTTCTTCTCTCCCCTCATTTACTTCTCCCTCAATGTTTCTTCTCTGCTCTGTCCTCAGCCCCTTACTGGAAAAAAAAAAAAAGGATGAATTCCTCTCCTTTCATGCATAGAGATTCTGTCCTATTTTCTGCAGATCAGGCATCAACCAAGAGCTTGGCCAATACCTCTTAAATTTCACCTTTTTGATTCAGTCTAAGTTATTTTTCTTAACAAAAACTACCCTCAATCTATGGTAAATTTTCAGGTCAACAATTAAGACAAATATATTTCTACTTTTATATCTAATATAAATAGACAAATGATAGAAAGGATGGGAGATGATTTACTAAATTGTTAATAGGGCTGGGGATTTAGCTCAGTGGTTCCGCCACCTGCCTTGCAAGCACAAGGACCTGAGTTCGATCCCTGGTACCAAAAAAAAAAAAAACATTGAGAAACTAAACTGTTAACAATGAATTAATCTAAAGGAATTGATCATAGATTGCTTTTGTTTTCTTCATTGGGTATTTTCAATTACTTTTACTCTTCCTTCCCCCCCTCCTTTGGTACTGGGGATTGAACACAGGGGCCTTCCCACTAGCTACATCCTCAGCCCCCATCCCCTTAGAGCTAAGGTCTCACTAAATCACTGGTTCTGGGATTAGAGGTGTGTGCCACCATACCCAGCTGATACTTTATTTTTTGCAATAAGCATATATCATATTTCACCGGACGTCAAAGTTTAGAGAATTGCTGCCCTTGGGGCAGTCACAGTCCAGTGCACACACCCAGACATCATGCCCAGTGCCAGCATGGCTTGGCCATGGCCATCTGATGAACTTAGATGTCTGATTGCATTCTGTAATTGTTGAACTCATTTTATATTGTTTTAAAACATTTTTTGAGTGGCAACAGACCTACCTTGTCTCTAGCCATGTAGTCTTCAGCCATGAGCTCCTGGTTTCAACGTGTCTCCCCAGTGGGTTCTTTCTAATAAAATTGGCATTTGATTTTCCCTGTCATTTCATTCACACTGCAATTTATCTTCATCAGGTTTTCACTGAAACATCTAAATATTTTTTCCTAAAGCTACAAGACCAAAGAGCCAGATATAGTTTTAGGCATACTTTCTTGCTTGTCCTGGTAAGAAAACCAGGGATTTTCAATTCTTCCAGCCTTTTCCTCCTACATTTGCAATTTAAATTACTTTAATATATGTATGAATTAAGACAAGTTAATAGCAAGAGCAGTAGTCAGTAATTGGAAAATCTGTTACCTTTTATCTCTTGGTTAAAAAGAGGAAGTAGGTCAGTTCCTTATTAATATTATTAGCAAATATTATTTATAGCACAGTATAATTCCTAGGGAAAGACACCCTAATTTTGACTTTTAAGCAGGAAGCAATCACTAACTCATTCTTAAATTTATTAAGAATGTAGCAGTCCAATTTTCCAGGTGAGCTAGTCCTTGCTACCTTACCAAAAACAAAACAAAAACAAATGACAACAATAAAACTAAGTTGCTAAGACATTTCTACTCCTCATATTATGCACGTACTAGAAGTTTGTCACAGGTACATGCTTCAGCCACATATCACAGGTCTATGTGATGGAGAGAGAAACATAAAACTGAGACTAAACCTGCTGCGCAAGCACAAGGACCTGAGTTCAATCCCCGGTACCAAAAAGAAAAAAAAACAACTGAGACTAAAATGTTGATGGCCCAAAATCACTCATCCCCCTTTATTTATAGACCCTTCTCTGTGTATTTCTATCATGACTGTAAAACTAAAATTCTAGTAGATCTCTCTGCATTTGAGTTTTCTGGTGAGGAGGTTAAAATTGCCTAACCACTAAATTGAAGGTTTCTGAAATAAGTCATGAGATATTTATAAATATCATTTCAAAGGCAAGGAAATGATGCTTATGTATTTGGCTTGTTACTAAATTGAGAAGAAGTCTGTCTGGGAGGCAACAATATTTCCCCACAGCCTCAATGTTTGCACACATCCAAATGACAGTTTGGACATAAAATACAGAAGCAAATATTTCTCAGGAAGAACTACAATTTGCTGCTGTCCAAGTCCATCAAACACTGGGTGAAAATATTTCCAAAAATCTACTTCTGATTTCCTTCTAAATGACCTAGAAGGGCGGTGATGGCATCCTTTGATAGTTAGAAAGGAAGAAACCATATTTCAACTCGAAAGGCTAGGGAATATTAAAACTCTTCAAACTGGAAATTTCCACATCTGAAAACACACCAGAAGCCACTGGTAAAATGTGCTTTCAAGCTCTGCTCTATTCCAGTTTCCACTCTTTTCTAAAGGCTCTTTAGTTGACACCTCTACTTCTGGAAGGATGCTGGCCAGGGATCCAGGATACATGATTTCCTGAGTAGTGCTTCATGCTGAATTTCCCCACAAGACCAGGGAGACCCAGACAGCGCCCTGTGAGGAGCACATGGTCCCCCAGAAGTCAGACATCTAATCTGCCGGAGGGACCTTTGCATCTATCATGCTTCTGGACTCCGGAGGATCATTTTGACCCTTTCCTCTGCAGATTTAAAGCAAAAAAAATTAGGGCTTGGTCCGGGAATTTAGCTCAGCAGCACTGTGCCTGCCTTGCAGGTGCAAGGTCCTGAGTTCCATCCCTTGGTACAAAAAAATTAGAGCTTGAGTCCTTGAACAATCTTCATAGACAACAAGAACTCAGCTCTGAATTACATTTTCATCACTAATTCTTTGCTTGCCACTTTCACACTTAACGCCTCTTCGAGTTCTGGAATTTTGTAAATGCATGAATGATCTTGGTGACTTGACTCATGAGTCTATTCTTGGTACTTGGGGAGAGTGACCACGAATAAGCTAGTCCATGCCCCATCCCAATTATTCTTGTTCCCAGTTTTTGCTGATCAAGGGCTTCCATTGACCCGAACCCCTATATTATATATTTCTGAGATATCTGAGCCCTTTTTATTTTGACAAAGGTCTCCCTAAGTTTCCTGGGCTGGCTATAAACTTGCTGTTCTCTTGCCTCAGTCCCCCAAGCAGCTAGAATTACAGACAAGGACAATTTTGCCTAGCTTTGAGTCTTTTATGTGATCTATAGACTGCTGTGCTTGCTTCAGCAGCTCGTATACTAAAAAATATTTCTAGACTGCTTATTTCCTTCAGCCAATTAAATCTACTACTACCTATCAGCTTATTATTTTAGTTTTGAAGAGCAGAAAACATTTTCTCTATGATTTCCCTTCTCTTATCTTTTCAGCTCATTGTCAGGTCTCATTAGAAGTTTGATTTTCTTTTCTCATTTTTACCAGGGTAATGAAGACCCTTTAGATTTACCTTCTGAAGCAGTGTCAGGATTCATACTACCATATTTTGCACATCTTGCGAAATGTTCATCTAGTTAGCTCAAGAATGAAATGAATACCTCAGGACTCATGGAAAAAATTGCTTAATGGTGGAATAGACCCTTTGCATGGTAGAATTTTTGAGAGTGGCTCCCTAAGCTTCTTTATTGAATCTAATTATTGGGCTGGGGATTTAGCTCAGTGGTTTCGCCGCCTACTTCACAAGCGCAAGGCCTTGTGTCCGATCCCTGGTACCAAAAAAAAATACAAAAATAAAAAAATAATTCTTTCCCCCACATCCACCCCTTCACCATCTCCCATAGCTGTCACAGAGAGTTTACATTTTGCACACATATTTTTTATACTATTGTGGGTTATAAAAATGTTACAATGGGCATGGTTCTTGTCTTTCTTGACCATGACCAACTGATTTTCCTCCAAAGTGTAAAATAAAATGAAGTTCACTTTGGAAAATTATGAATTGAATTGTGTCCCTCTTATTCCAACCCCCAATTTAATATGCTGAAGTCCTAATCCCTAGTACCTCAGAATGGGACTTTGTGAGGAGACAGCATATATGGAGATAATCAAAATGAGGTCATTAGCATAGACTTTCATCTAATATGACTAGTGTCCTTATTTTAAAAAAAGGGGGAACTCTGAACACAGAGGAAGAATGGTGATGTAATAACACACAGGGAGAAGACAGCCATCTCTAAGCCAAAGACTGAAGCCTAGGACACTTCCTCCACTTAGAGCCCTCAAAAGGAATCAGCCCTGCCGCCATCTTGATTTGACCTCCAGCTCCACAACTTTGAGCCAGTCGCTTTCTATTGTGAAAGACATCCCAGATCTGTTGTTTCGGCAGCCCTAACAAACTAAGACAGACTGGTTGTGTATAACTGTTTTCTCTTTATCTTTCATCTGATACCTTTACATACTAAGCTGTTCATCATGATGACAGCCTTTTTTCCCTTTGTCCTGAAGGTTGGCTTGTGAAATAATAACTCTCTTAGAAGCAGGTCACATTGCTTGTGGTCTGGCACCCAAGATGTGAACTTAAATTCTTGATGTGGCAAACTCTGGATCACCTCTTCTGGAAGACAATCATGATGAGCTATCTCTCAGAGAGCTTTTCTACTGAGTAACTCTAGGATACAGGCACCAAAATTATCCCCACTTTACAGGTGAAGAAATTGTGAAACAGAAAGATTAAGTAATTTTTTTTGAAGTCACACAGTGTTTGAACTGACATCTGTTTTTTTTGTTTTTGTTTTTATTTTTTTTGGTACCGAGGATCAAACTCAGGACCTTGTGCTTGTGAGGCAGGCACCGGAACCACTGAGCTAAATCCCCAGCCCCTGAACTGACATCTGAACTCAAGTAGTTTGATTGCAGAGCAGAGTATCTTTATAGAAAACAAATAAGCAGGCCCCTGACTAGAATATCGAAAGAAAGAAAAAGAAAAGGGCAAAATATTGAAATGACTAAATAAATAAGTTATGGTTTTCCCATGCATCAAAGGTAGTACATGAACAAAATAAACATACAACAAATATAATAAAATATAAATAAAACAATAACTTCAAATATATATAATGACACAGGAAAATATTCACAGTGTAATATTAAATGAAATAGTATATGAGAGTTGTCTGCATAATTAAAAACCCATAATTAAAAATTACAAAATAGAAGGTCAATGCTGATTGTTTCTAGTGATTGGATAGAGTCATTTTAATTTTTTCTTTATGCTTCTATTTCCAATTTTTTATGGCTAATTACCTTTTAAGTCCAAAAGTTAAGGCATGCTAACATTTAAAAATTCTCAAAATGAGCCTCTCCTGATATCTAGCATTGAACACAGGGAGGAGGTAGCCTCCCACTCTGCCTTTGTCTGGATTAGACTCCTTAGTTTTCATTTAAAAATATATATATATCAATTTTAATAATGACTCAACTGACTCTTGACAGATGCATTCCTTCATCGGCCTCATAGATTATCTATACTCAGCATCTTTCCAGAGAGCATAACCTTGAACTCAGGGGCTCAAAAACAATTAAAAAGTTATTGTTAAAAGAAAAAAATCAGGTAAAACTTAGGTGACCGGTGACCATGTAGTCCTTTCCTTTGGGATCTGATATTTATTTTCCCCAAGTCATACAAGTGTATCCCACAACTACAAAGTTGGGCTCCATATAGAATCACTTTCCTGAGTGGAATTTGCCCATGGAACCCTCAGCTTGTACTGAGGGAGCTCAGTGGTAACAGCCCCTGAAGCCCATGTTGTGCGTTACGTGTGGCTGCTACAGAACCAGTTCACCACCTCACCACACTGTATGAGGGAATCTCTCCCAGGTCAAAAACCACTGTAAGGGCCGGGGATTTAGCTCAGTGGTTTCGCCACCTGCTGCGCAAGTGCAGGACCCGAGTTCAATCCCTGGTACCAAAAAAAAAACCTGGCAAATAAACTTATGGACAAGAAATTTACTATCCAATCCAATTCATTTTTCCATATCGGAAGAGCACACGTCTGAACTCCAGTCACCTACCAGTTCGATCCCCGGTACTAAAAAAAAAAAAAAAACCACTGTAATTCTTCCACACGAGGAGTTTGTTTTTATGTTATGGACAATGTAATTTATACTGTTGATTTATAAATTATATATCACATATATCCTTCTTTATTAGCTGCTGTAAAGCTCTGGGACAATTATATGAAATTCCTCCAGCAAATATCCAGGTATGTGACATGCCGGTCTCTGATTTTCTCCTGGAACTGATCCCGGCCACACACACACACACACACACACACACACACACACACACACACAACTCCACTTTCCATTTCATTTGTTCTTTCAAAGTCATCTACAACAAGGAGATAGGGAATTAAAAACTTGATGAAGGGGGCCAGGGATTTAGCTCAGTGGTGGTGCCGCCTGTGTCGCAAGCCAAAGATCCCGAGTTCAATCCCTGGTACCCCCCCAAAAAAACTTGATAAAGAAAGAGGAGAGGGAGGGAGAGAGGGGGGAGTTCTATTGCTACATCTGCTTTTCTAGAACAATCTACAGTAACTCAAAAGATGACAGGAGGAAAACATAGCAAAGCAAAGATTTTTTTTTCCCCCACTGCTTGTTTTCAAGAAGAATTGACAAGAGTCCAAATCCTAGGTACACACAGCTCTGACAGATCCACTCTGGCAAGAGTGACCACCTAAAATAAACTGTTTTCTCGGGGAACAGGCCAGCTGCATTGGGGCCCAGTGGTCAACAGGGGAGAGGAACCTTTTTCTGTGTTTCTCTGCAATATTTCAGGCTCACATTCTATACCAATTCACACTCCACTGACAGATTATGAGTTTCAGAAAAAAGAGGACAAAGCTAAATCTCACAACACAGGAGCATAAGCTCTGGCTGCCCCCCAACAAGGTGTTCATGTGTTAGGGCCACTTTGCTCAAGCCTACCAAGAAATCCACACACAGCTTTGTGCAGCATACTCTGTTCAAACCTAAGAAGGCTTCTGTTGTTCTTTCCTCCTCCTCCCCTTCCCCCCCCCTTCCTCCTCTTCCTCTTCCTTGTCCTCACAGGGTTTCCATCGTCTGTTGTTTTTTTCCATTCAGTATTAGTTTGGTGTCTCAGCTTGCCCTGTAGGCAGCATTTGGTCCCTTTCTTTCCTGTCAACACCAATGTGCCCCGTCAACTTTCCCTCCAGAGCCATCTGCCTCTCTAAGGTGCTGAGTCACTGAAAGGACCAACAGACTTCCCGTGGGCAGCAGCAGCAGACAGAAAACAGAATCCATTGCCAGGACTTGAAAGGGTATTTCCAAAAGGGAGCAAATTTAGAGGATCTAGAAAGTAGGTGAGAAGTTCATGCAGGGTGAAAGATACAGAGCACAAGGAAAATCCTATTTCATAAATGAGAGTGGCATGCGTGGAAAATTCTTTTGTTCAGCAATAAGGAATATTCTTTTGTTCATTGCCCTAGGGCAAGATTGCAGAGGGTTGTACTAAATTCTCATCCTTTCTTTTCTAATGGTATCCACCTTCAGGTTTTCCTGGGAGAAGATGACCTCTGCTTCTACTCTAATAGAAGGGTACTGAGACACGAATGTGTGAAGTTCTGAGCTTTTGGGTGCCTTGATTTGGCTATTGATCTTTAAATATCTACTGCCTCAAAAGCAAAGCCTGTATACATTTGAACTTTTCATGTAATATTTCCCAAAAGGCACTCTATTAAAAGTCAATTCTAGGGCCGGGATTTAGCTCGGTGGTTCACCCACCTGCCTCGCAAGCGCAAAGTCCTGAGTTTGATCCCCCGTACCAAAAAAAAAAAAAAAGTCAATTCTAAGTAAAAGACTGAACTACAGCACTATAGCAGGTTCTACAGGAAAAGCTTGATACTGACTTTTAAAATGGGTCTTGGTAGGAATTTCTTATGAATAAATAATATTGCAAGATTTAAAATGTTTGAAAATGTGTATTGGTCCTATAAACCCAGAGAAGCTTTCTGTAAAATAATGTCTTTAGTATGGTATTAAAATAGCATCCTTCTCAAATCCACCCCATGTACCAATCATCACACCAGCTACCATTCAAGTAATGTGAGTTCATTATAAATATATCATGTTATTCATCCTGACATATGAGGCAGATAGAAGAACCATATGAGGGAGATATAATTATTTCACATTTCAAATAAGAAAACTGAGGCTCAGAGAAATTAGATAATTTATCTAAAATTACATTACAGTAAGAAGCGGATGCCTAGCTTTTCTGAACAAAAAGCCACTCTACTTTACTGTTAAGCAGGTCAATCTGCTTAATTCCCTCTAACTTCCTGCTTCCAGCTAGTGTACAGAAACAGCATAATATTTGAATTTTTTTTTGGTACCCAGGATTGAACTCAGGACCTTGTGCTTCCCAGGCAGATGCAAGCACATCCCCAGCCCCTAACAGGATAACATATCATATTCACCACCACGCCATTCGCTCATTGTGTAACTGTTCAGGTTCTCAGGTGTCTGAACCTTAAATTTTCCTGAGCTCTAAAATTAAGATAAGCATGTCTACCTGCTGTGGTAGGGCATTACAAGGGATAATGTGTGTAAAGCATGGGAAGGATGCCTATCTCATACTGGATGCTTATGTGACCATGTGTCACCCTTTACTTGGATTGAAATGGCCTGATAACTTTTTTATTTGTGGTTCTTTTTATTTGTGGTTCATTTATTTATGATTCTTCAAATTATATTACAAATTCCATGGCTCATGTTTCTTTTGTATTCTTTGTGTCAGTTAAATACTATTGACTGCAAATTCTGGAAACCAGATTTATACCAGGTTAAACAAGAAAGAAATAGATCACCTTCCCTTGAAAGATGGCCATGGCAGGCTTGATGGGTGGCTGATTCTTCAATGAGCAAGGTCATTAAGGACTTAAATTCTTTCTCTCTGCTCCAACATCTACAAGATCAGCTTCCCTTAACCCTTGCTACGCTCCCTGGAGAAAGGGGCCATGGTAGCCTAAGGTAACCAGGCATGCTTCACTCAGGTCTGAGAGAGGAGGGCTGCCTCCCTGGGGTTGTAAGAACAAGAAGGCTTATTTCTCACGTAGATACTCATTCTCTCCTTGCATCTCATTGGCACATGCTGACTTCAGCTTGCCTAACTTGAACCATTCATTAGTGAAAGGAGTTGGGATTTAAGAACTAATTTGGTTAATCCTCTGAAGGGAAGGCAAATTTGCCCACTATCCATCTAAATTCTCCTTACTTCAGATGGGAATGGTGGTGCACACCCTAATGCCAGCTTCTCAGGAGTCTGAGGCAGGAGGGTCAACCTGGGTAATACAGGAAGAGCCCATCTAAAAAAGAAAAAAGGAAAAAGAAAGCTTTTATATATTTTTTCCTTAGATTCTTTTATTGATACATTTTAGGTATACAATACATTTACATTTATCATTGGGTACTTGCACTTTTACATGATGCATCTTGGTTCTTATTTTTTTCCCATTTCCTGTCCTCCTTCACCCCCTCCACCCTTCCTTATTTACAAAGACTTTGTTTCCATTTTTTCCTTTTCTCATAATTTTTCCTTTCCCTTCTTTCCTTTCCCCTACCCCTCCCACTTCCCCTACCCCTTTGAACCAAAAACTTTTATATATTTAAGGCTAAATAAACATATGCTCCTGAATGGATGAATGAATTACAACAAGCTTGTCTATGACTACAGGAGGTAATTCTAATAACATCCAGAAAATGTGAATTAGCATGGAAACAGACCATGCCTGTCTGATTGCAGAGCCCACTGAGCCCCACACCACTGGTTATGCAGAAAGAGCTGATGAGAGCTCCCCTCTCCCACACACTTCCTTAGGCCAATCCTGTTGAAAACTAATTAACTTAGATCCATAAACACACTTCTCAAGCACACATGACACCGAAGGTGCAGAAGAACAAGTCCTTAACACATAGTCTCCGGCAGTTCACCAAAGGATGACTTAAGTGGTGCATATTCACTTCATTAAGAACATTGAACTACATAAAGCATTAATCTCTATTCAGCTGCCTTTTGATCCTCCTGCTATAGAAACACAAGCAAGTTTGCCACTCTGAATCTTTAACACTCTAACACTTGTTAATCTCCTTTTAACAAAGGCAGAGTCTTAGGCTGGGAGCTGGGAAGGCACCTACCTAGACTTTTAAACAGTGTTTTGTTTTCCTTTAGTTATTTTTGTAGTTACCTTGTATCTGTAATAACAATATTGGTCTTTCCATCTGAGGCAGTGATACAAAATTCCCTTGGAAAATAGATGTATGTAAAGAAAAGAAAGCTAATTAAAATAATAAACTTGGAGAAGAGATTGTGCATAGATATATTAAAGTTAAGGCAGTAAGATATATAAATATGTGCACATGGCAAAAATATGAAAGTGTTATGAGGATACTGGGGTTTGCAAAGCATTAGTTTAGGATGATTAAAGAACGATGGCAGATGTCTCATTCCAAAGGAAAGAAAACACCAGAGGGCAGTTATTTCAGTAGCCACAAGAGGGCAGCGTGTCAGTAACTATAAAAACAATTTGAAGCGGCATCTGTTCTGGATTAGACTCTTCGTCCTCCCGCTGTGGTCTGCAGACCGCAGGATCAGCGTCTTGGGAAGCTTGTTAGAAAAGGGGTCTCCGACCCTACCCCAGACCCACTCGATCAGAATCTCCCTCCTAATAAGATCCCCTAGTAATTCTCATTAGGTTCAGAGGTTTGGGGGCCTTTTTGCCAGACCTTCCCTCTTTGGGAATAGGAGGGACACACGTAATTTCCAAGAAGCGCATCTGTCCATGGATTCTACAGCCACACTGCTTGTATTTGAATCCCACTTTTTCCCTACCAGCATGACATGGGCAAGAAACTGCATGTTCAACACTTGGAATAACGCTTTGATAAACAGATGTTCAGGAAATGAATGGACAAACAAACCAATCAAGAGAACACCAAGAAATCACATTTCCTGATTTAGTGTTTCTATCTCTCTGCCATCATTTATATTTGGTGAATTAATGAAAGCTATGGCTTTATTTATGTCTTTTTGGTGTCAACTGCTTTAAGTCTGTTTGGAGTAAAAGGGAAATAAATACATTCTCTCACACACGTGGGGTTGTTCTTACCATGTTCAGTGAGTTATCCCAGGGTCTTTCCCCATATTTTGGTGCCTGCTTCTGCTAATACACAGCCCAGGGGGCTGGAGATTTAGCTCAGTGGTTCCGCCGCCTGCCTCACAAGCACAAGGTCCCAAGTTCGATCCCCTATACCCCCCAAAAAACCAAAAACAACAACAACAACAACAAAAAATAATACAGAGCCCAGGGTGTACAAAGTGTGTAAGGTAGAGACAAGTAGTCCAAGCAAGAAAGATTTTACATCCTTATCATTTCATTGGCTTCAGATATCTGGGACTCAAGGTAAAAGAATAAAACACACTTGTGTTTCCTAGCCCAAAAAGAAAAATCAATAAGTTATTCCAACCAACTGGTAAAAGTGACCTGTATACTTAAAGTGTGGCATTAACACCCTCCCAAAATACTCCAGTATTTTCCCTTTTAATAGGTAAAAGGACAGGAGATTGAAAAAGCACTGGAATATTCCAAAAACTAAAAATATGAGGCTTCCTGGACCTATAAATTTTGTGTATTTCCCAGTTATTCACCACTTCAAATTGATTTATAGTTGAGTAAGTCCTCCATTATTTCTGGTGCCAGAATATATTGAGAGGAAAAAAAGAAATCTAATTCATATGATGAATCTCCCAAGCCCCACCCTTGAAATGTTACAGGGTGACTGATTAGCGACTCAGGAAGGCCACATAGGAGGGGAGAGGAAGTTATCATTACCCAGCCATAAAACCAGTTCAAGCCTTTCCTGTCACTCAAGTCTGTATGGTGAGATAACCCTTCCTCCTTTCTAAAGATTCACTTTTGGTGATTTTTTTTTTTTCTCATCATAATTTTTTCTGAGGTACCGGGGAATGAACTCAGGGTTTCACACATGGTAGGCAAGCTTTCCACCATAGAGCTACCTCTTCAGCCCTTTTATATTTTTGAGACTAGTTCTTGCTAAGTTGCCCAGACTGGCCTCAGAGGCCTGGCAATCCTCTTGCTTCAGCCTGAGTAGCTGGAATTACAGACCTGTGCCATCACACCCAGCTTCATTTCATTTTTACCTCCACTCATTTATTCGGTTTTCATTTTTCCCCTTCATTCCTTCAACATATGCTTTTGAGCACTTCTACATGCTTGAGATCTAGAAGAACAAACAAATTCTCTGGTCTAGAGGAGGTGACTTTTAAAGTGTGAGAGGATGGACAACTGGTCAAACAAACATTCTTTTTAGACAATTACAGGAAACAAACCAAAACAAGATAATGTGATTGTGAGTGTGGAAAGTGAACAGCCTTAGACTGAACCATCAGGAAAGGGCTCTCTAAGAATATGACACTTTAATCCATGAACCAACACTGACATTTGTTATAAGGCTTGCAGGAAGAGACTTGAATCAGAGGACAGCTAAGAAAATAGCCCCAAGTCAAGATTGAGTTTAACAAGTCTGAGGAGGAAAAAGAATCAGTGGGCCTGTATTGGGTTGATCAAGTGGTAGGTATAAAAATAGTTGGCAAAGATTCAGTGAATGTGGTATGAGAGGTGGGCAAGTCCAGGTATTGTGAGAGCACACTGTAATTGTCCAAAGACCCCAAGCTCTGCTGTGAAGCCTGGCTGTGCTACCAGGGGTCAGTATTGGTGCTATACTACCAGGGGTCAGTATGGGTGTTGTGCTACTTGGCGGTTGTACTACCTGGGACTGTGTGGACAGGAAGTTGCCTTGAATACTGGAGCTAGGTTCACTTGAGTGAACAGTAGACCTATTTGAATATCTTCATTATGAACAGAAATGTCTGAGCTTATCTTTTTCATGTTGTATGCCACCATGAGTTATGTTGGATTGCTCAATCATGATGACACTTGAAGAGAGCATTACAAACAATGTAGAAGTCCAACCCACTCATAAAGTCCTAGATATTAAAAATTTTAGACCTATCAGAAGTGGTTATAATTATCTTCTGCTGATAATCTATTTTTTCAGAACATCATAACTCTTCATAATTAGCTCCATAATTTCCCCATAGAATATAATCCACTTCATCCAAAGTGCTGAAACCAAACACTAGTTGATTACTGTCTAGAATTTGCATTGCTCTTTACCCAAGAAAATATTAGTTCTTATTAGCCAGATTGAGAACTATTATGAATGTCAATGTAACTTAATTAAAGCATAATATTAATCATAATACTATCTTCTAAAGTCAAATATAGTACTTTCCCCAAGATATTTACTTACCTAGCCCTGCACTGATGAAACGGAAAAATAAATTAGATAAAGGCATTTCTAATGAATAGGGAGATTTAACAAAATCCTCTCTTAATGGAAAAAATATATAAGAGAGTATGGAAAGAATGTTATCTACTAAATCACATCCAAAAAAAGGTCTTCAATAAAATAAGAAATTTGTTCTACTGACTTTATACTTGAGCATTAAGTAATATTTATAAAACTTCTAAGTATTTGTTGCACTATGTGCTGTTAGTCAACAAGTTCATACTCTTTATTAATTTTCCCAAATCTTATTCGTTATTGTTTGAAATGCACAATGCAATTTTATGCATTAGAAACATTTTAGCCACAATCACACGTTTCTTGCCTAGTATTTACGTATGTGTTAACATAGAAACCCAAAGTCTCTTCTGCCTTAGTAGGGATAACTTCAATTTCTTTGGGGAAAATTGTCCATTTCTTCAGAAAAACATTTTAATGTATTTTTGGTTAAACAAGTAAGTCCTGAAACTAGGGTAGTATTTGGAGGTGGTGAGTCATTGGGAGCTATTAATGACATAAGAGAGAAAAAATAAAGATAGGTAGAAAGGAAACAAGAAAAATCAGTACAAAGAAATTATACTTTTAAGAAAAACTACAACTGGGCCGCGGGGATTTAGTTCAGTGGTTCCGCCGCCTGCCTTGCAAGCAGGAAGTCCCAAGTTTGATCCCTGGTACCAAAAAAAAAAAAAAAGAAAAGAAAAACTACAACTTTCAGGACACAGTAGAAGTTACCCAAGGTGATCCATTTCAGCATCTCCATGGTTGATTTAGCTTCCTTTCCTTCCAGACCCATCACACCCAAAATTCCTCAAAAATACTGTAAGTCCATGGATTGGCTTAAATTTTTTAAAAAAGGAAAAGAAAAATAAAGAGCAGGAACCTGATTATAAAATAAAGAATTCAAATGAAGCTTCAATTATCCATCTTAGAAAAAAAAAATGGGGCTCATACTTTTTAAATGGCCAGTAACCTTCTTGGGTTGGGCCACCTTTTCCTGGGGTTTCCACCCTCTCAAGACAAGTATAAATGTTCCCAGTTTAGTAAAATCTCTCTCTCTCTCTCTCTCTCTCTCTCTCTCTCTCTCTCTCTCTCTCTCTCTCTCCCTCCTGTATTCTATTTCTTTAAGTGTGTACTTTTAAACTGCTGCCTAATAAATCCATTTTTGCCTCTTACTGGCATGTCCTGAAAATTCTTTTTCCATGACAGATTAGGGAAACCTACAAACAAATTCTGAGGGTAGGGCACATTTAGATTCCTAATCTTGGTGATATTAAGGCAATGAAGTGTTAAGCCACTCACCGTAAAAGGCTGTCTCCCTCAGATGTAGAGATTGTTTTAACTTATTTGGAACGTCCTGGCCAAGGTTGTAATTTTTCCAGAAACAGCTGAGTTGTCATCCTAGAACTAAAAAGGGAAAGAGAAACAATTTGGATTTCTATGAGTGGCCTTAGTAACAAGAGAAAAGGTAACAGAGCAAGAGCAAGAATCCCTCCCTGGTGATCCTGAGACTTGGAAAGTGTGTGGTACTTTCAGTGGCCTCCCCAGATGAGGCCTGAGTTACAGCCTTAAAACAGAAAGATGCCCTGAAGGCTGGGGAAATTTGTGGATACTCCCATTGCTCCTTAATTTGTGTCTGTTGAAGCTCGTTAGGATGCAAGAAGCAAAAGGCAGCACACACCAGCTCAAAAAATAAATGAGATTTTTTTTTTTTTGGCAGCAAAAGGCTAAAAGCCCAGAACTTTTGTGGGGGTTAAGGTTAAATAGGGGTACAGACACTTGGAAAACAGTTCTTTGAGTCAGCTTCCTCTTACATCAGCTCTGCCCTCAGGCTGACTTCACAAGATGACTTTGGCATCCTCCCGGGCCACCTGCTCTTCATTTGCATCCAAAAGAGAAAAAGAGGCAAAATTCCTCCAACCCTTAACGAGGGCAACTGGAAGTGCTAATTACTGGCCTTAGCGGTGACAGGTTTAGAGGTATCCAGGCTAAGGCCTGGTTAGGGAAGGGAGAGTGTTTAGAAGACAACTTTGATGTCCTTTATAAAATCTAACTACTTCTCTCAACTTTGACATCAGGAACTTTTAGGAATGAGTTCAAGATCCACTAAAATTCCAGTTAACTGCTCCAGAAAATCCAATTTTAATTCTCTTTCCATAACTGCTATGCAATAAAATTACCTTGAATTTAACAATTCCATTTTCTCAGAGTTAGACAATGTGCCTTTAATCTATACTATTTTTTATGGAAACCTACCATACTTCAGTCTGAGTACCAATGAATCAATCACAAGTTGAGATCCTCGAAGAATCAAACAACTCCTGGATTCTTACAGAAGCAGAGCTGGATAGTGGAAAAACTTGGAGGCCTTTAGACAATAGAGGGGGTCTGATCTCTCCATCTCCACGGTCAGAAGCTAAGGCACACGGTCCAAATAGGATGCCGGATGCCGGCCATGCAGCCTGAAAAGGAGCCCAGTGGGAAGCTGGAAAGGATTTTCCAGAACTCCCTCTGGGCATCCTTGCACCACTGTGCAGGGCTCTCCCAATAAATACCAAAAGTCTGAGTAGCTGGAACCCCTGCCAGCAGCACACAGTTGGAGTGATGGCTTAAACAGCAAACAATGCTTTCCAGATGCACAGCTTCCTGTGCTGGGAGAACTGCTTGGGGAGCCCAGGGTGGCTGGGTATCTCTGCTGTCTGAAGAAGGCATGTGACTGGTGACATTTTAGGCATGAATTAAAGACTTCTGTTGTATTTGTTTAAACACAGTGAGGGGCCTGGCATTTAGCTCAGTGGTGCCCCTGCCTGCCTCACAACCGCAAGGTTCCGAGTTCAATTCCCTGGTACCAAAAAAGTAAAATAAAATAAACACAGTGAGGAAAGATCCAAAGAATAAAGGTGAAGGTTTTAGGAAGCAGGAGACCTTGGGCTCAGCTGAAGGCTGGTTTAGTGATAGGTCTCCCACCACCTCAGCAGCTATTAAGTACAGTAGCTGCCCTCTTCCTATGGTGCCTTGCCCCCTCCCCTGTGTGACATCATGCCAAGATGGTTGCTCCCACCAAAGAACAAACCCTTCTTCCCAGCATGCCCCTGTTCCAACCTAGACAGTAACCTAATACTTGCTCACCTCCTACCACCTAGTGACATCACTGGCTCCTCCATTCCCTGGTCACTACCTCACTCAACCCCGCCTTAGCCCCTACAAGCCCCACCCCAGTCTCTATAAAAGACTCTCCCTGCCCCAGCCATATTGCTTTTGTCTCTCCTTTGTTCAGAGACAGCCCGGCAGATCTATTCCCCTAATAAAGGCTTGTTGTGGCCTGGTCTGGTCTTGGTCTTCGGCCCTTTTACCTGACATTTAGAATGCCTCCCTTCCTTCCTGAATGATTTGGGCATTTGCCTATTTGTCCTTCCCCGGAATGCAGGAGGTGTGGGAACACATCAGTGAATATTTGCATGGTGTTGAAAGATCCTGGAGTACCACTCTAAAGATATGGAAGTCACTTTCTTTTTGATCTCCTTTTGACTTACACTGAAATTTGTCTGGCAAGTCCTTCCCCTCGGAAAGTTTTCCTGGACTACGCCTGATAGAACTGTATTTATTGTCTATTTAGCCAGGTCTTTAAAGATTAAAAACATGAATATTTGCATTTTAAAAAATGTTAACTCCCTTGATTATGAACCCAGGCAGGAAAACAGAACAAAGTTGGGTGGCAAATGCATTATTCATGTGAGTTTACTTTTAATTGATTGATTTGAATAATTTTCATCATACTAGTTTAGATCAACAGATAACATACGCAGTTCTATAGCTGCTGCTGCAGACTATATTAGCTTTTTCTGAAGGAGGACGGTTTTTCGTCTGGACACACTGACCTTGGACAAGAGAACAGCTTGTATGCTGTAAACTCGTCTCAGCTGCTATGAAGATTTTCAATTTCAAAAATATCTACTTTGCAGGTGCTGAAATCCCTATCCCTGTACCTTACAGTTTAAAAGAATTCATCTCCTGGAGCTGCCTCTGAAAATGTAAATATTACTGAGAACAGTCACATGTTTTGCCAACTCACATCTGGTTTCTGTAGAATGTCTCCTTCAGTTTAATTCTTTGTTCTGCACTTTTCAGTTGGGGGTGGTACCTAAGATTTTTTCCCATACCATCTGACCTCCCATTCCATTTCTTCTTTCTATTGATGTGACTCTGAAATTATTACACACACACACACCCTATTTATGTAACCAGTCTCCTGAAGCATGTGCCACAAAACATCCTTATACATTGATGTTGCTATGAATGCAATGATTGCCTCATTGATAATAGTCACGCATTTTAGCCCGCCTGGGCTGTGCTGTATCCTGTTCTTACCATTCCATTTTGCCATTTTCTAACAAAAAGAAATGCTACCCTGTTGCTAGGAGACCTCAGCAATATTGTATGTAGCCCTTTCTTTTCTGTATTCTTCTGGCTTCCTTTTTGTGGTCTAATTATCATTGTTTTTCTTCTGAAGTCTCTCTCCCCATTGCTGACTCCCATTGTCATCGGATAACTGTGATATTGTCGCTATTGAATTCAGTGATAAGCCACAATTTGCTCATCCTCCAACAGAATAGAAAATTGATGTGTCTTGTGATGCATCTGCATGCTTTCAGAGAAATAGTTTTTTCTCTTAGATGTCACATTCCCAAAGACAGTGTTCAATGGTTGGCAACCCTCCTCCTTTAATTTGCTTCATCTTCCCAACTGCTATTATAATCCCTTTCCTTCAAGGAGTAGGCTTATGTCTGGAATATTATCTGTGTGTTGTGTATGATGATAAAGTTGTGACAGAGCAGTTCTGAGCTGTGCTCGGCCTATGAACTAGTAAACATCAACAATAATAAAAATGACAATAGCCATTTAGCTATGGACCTATTGTGTGCCAGATACTACTTAAGTGACTGACATACAGTATCTCATTTAATCTTCATCAACTCTATTCTCACTCCCATTATGTAGATAACAAAGGAGAAATGAGACCCAGAGAGCCCAGATCATATAGATAATGGGTAGCAGGCCCAAGATTTCTTCATTTAGATGTCACTGATTATAAGAAGTAACATCAACGCGCGGCCGAGCCCGCCGTCTGCCGCCGCTGCCGCCGCCGCCAGGTAGTGTTTGGACACTAGACCATGTGCCTAGGTAGTTTTTCCTGTCTCTGCAGCTCTACTCCCCCAGCAACGCTCACCACACCCTTGTTTTGAGAACCTCACTAGGCCCTTGGTGAGCCTCCAGCCATGGGGGATATGAAAACCCCTGATTTTTTTTTTTTTTTTTTTTTGGTACCAGGGATCAAACTCAGGTCCTTGAGCTTGCGAGGCAGGAGGCGGAACCACTGAGCTAAATCCCCGGCCCCAAATCCCTGATTTTGATGATCTTCTTGCTGCCTTCGACATCCTAGACCCCACAAGCCTTGGTGCCAAGGAGGCCATCCAGACTCCCAGTGAGGAGAATGAGAGTCCCCTCAAGCCCTCAGGCATGTGTCTGGATGAGAGTGTGTCCTTATTTCACTCAGGATCTGCCGTGGATGTGCCGGCTGTGAGTGTCATTGTCAAGAACACCAGTCGCCAAGTCCTTTGAGGCAGAGAAAGACCATGTCACCCCCAGCCTCCTGCACAATGGCTTCCGGGGTCCAGATCTGCCTCCAGAATCTCCCAACTGTGGGAACTTTGACTCTACTTTCTTAAATGGAGACAGTGCCAGGAGTTTCTCTGGAAAGCTGGAATCTCCCAAGTCCAAGTGATAGGTCTCCCACCACCTCAGCAGCTATTATGTATAGTAGCTGCCCTCTTCCTATAGTGCCTTGCCCCCTTCCCTGTGTGACGTCACACCAAGATGGTTGCTCCCACCAAAGAATAAAGTCTTCTTCCCAGCATGCCCCTGTTCCTGCCTAGGGAGTAACCCAACACTCGCTCACCTTCTATCACCTGGTGACATCACTGGCTCCTCCATTCCCTAGTCACTACCTCACTCAACCCCACCTCAGCCCCTACAAACCCCACCCCAGTCTCTATAAAAGACTTTCCCTGCCTCGGCCATATTGCTTTTGTCTCTCCTTTGTTCAGAGACAGCCTGGCAGATCTAGTCCCCTAATAAAGGTTTGTTGTGGCCTGGTCTGGTCTTGGTCTTCGGCCCTTTTACCTGACACAAGCCATTACCCACCTTCAACCAGTTCAGCCCGATCTCTAGCCCAGAGCCTGAGGATTCCATCAAAGATAACGGGTTTAGGATAAAGCCCAAGCACTCGAACAGTTATTTTCCACCCCCTCCTGGGTGTGGGACCGTGGGGGGCCCAGTCCTGGAGCCACTAACCAAGTTTCCAGTCCCGGAACTGCAACATGTTTGATCACTTTTGTAAGAAAGAACCCAACCCCGAGCCCTTACCCTTGGAGAGTCAGGAGGAGTACTCTCGGGGTGGGCAGAAGGTGGTGGAGCCCCACAGAGAGCTGGATTCCAGTCAAT